ACTTCAAAAGAGCAAGTCACTATAAATATTCTTTCTGGGGTACAAACTATTTGGTATTTAATTTAGAGCAAGAGAAGAAAATGAAAGCTCACTTTTTATGTAACCTCCAAGGAACACTGGGGTTGTGTGTGTGGATATCATATGATACACTAAGCACATTGATGACTAACTGTATATTTTATTTGACACAATTATGTTTTGCCTTGCTCCAATTATAATGAGGATCACAGCTGGAAAAATTCTTGACATTATTTTAATAAAATAGAAATTTGCAAACTACTTGTGCCATTCTGGATATTTCCAAAAGCACAACTCCCCCCAGCCTCCCCCACATTCCAGTGTGGCTTCCTGTAAAATGCAAGAGTTTCCATAATTTCCCAAATGAGGAAAGGACAAGTGGAGCTTAGCCCGAGGCTCAGCAGAATGAATTCGTTGCTCATCAGCGGTCTCCTACATGTTCCACAAAAGTTTCTGAAGAGATATGGTTCTCAAGGCAAAATTACTCGAGTAGAGTAACTTCTGCATTGGTGGAATGTCTTTTGAGAAAAGAAGATATTTTTTCTTTCCCAATTAAAAATTTTGAGGAGACGATAATATTCATTGGCTTTTACTTGATTTGTACCATTAATCCTAAAGTTTTTTTTCTGATAATTTGTTTCTTCACATACTGTAATTAACAAATCCTTAGTAAATTTCTTCTTCTAGGCAAATAAAAACAGAAAAATACAGCATTTTCTCCCTTCTGGTTCTTCATCCAAATATCTAATGACTTTCTGACTTCACACCCCAGAAGTCATCCTTATTTGTTCAGAGGAGTTGCTCCTATCAGAGGCACTGTGGAAGCTTCCGCTCCTCTCCTTCATCTTCATGAAGGATCTCTACAAAAATCTTCCCCTCTGCTCACTTTACCTCTTTTTCCTGCAATCAGTTCTTGTTTTTGAATGCTTTGAGTAGGAAGGCATTCTCATTCACCTATACAAAAAATGTGATTTCCTGAGGTTGCTAGACAGACCCTTTTCCACCTTATTTTAGAGCAAAATAAGATCTGGATGCCTACTGAAGACCAGTGATTGGTGATGCTGTAAAGTCATTCACAAATAGAACAGAAATCTGGGTATGGTGGTACATTCCTGAAATCCCAGCACTCAGGGAGGCTGAGGCAGGAGAATTGTAAATTCCAGCCCAGCCTGGGCAATTTAGTAACTCAGTATGACTTGTCTCAAAGTCAAAAAGGGCTGGGGATGTAGCTCAGTGCAAAAACCCTAGATTTAATCCTCAGTATCGAAAGAAAGAAAGAAAGAAAGAAAGAAAGAAAGAAAGAAAGAAAGAAAGAAAGAAAGAAAGAAAGAAAGAAAGAAAGAAAGAGAAAGAAAGAAAAGGGGAAGAAAAAAGGGAGGGGGAAGGGAAGGGGAAAAAGCTAAAACCTTCAATAAAGTTCTTCCCACACTTGATACGAAGCATGTTTCAGAACAGCATCACCTTTGCAGAAATTTTTGCTTACTTTATGAAGATTTGTATGGTCCGATCATGCATTAAGGCAATGTTAAGGCTTTCGTCTTAGTGATGTCAGTTAACTAGAAAAAGGTATAGATGCTGGTGCTAGGAATATTTGCACTATTTTGATATCAAAGATAAGTTTTGATTCTTGCTATGCAGTGTATCTAAAATAAATTTAGTCACAAAAACTGCTCTGTTGTAAATTATGAATCATTTATACTCAAGAATTCCCCCAAGGAATGCAGATTGAAAGGATTTTGTGTGATTGGCCATTTTCTTTTTCTGTTTTGGTGGTACTAGGAATTGAAGCCGTGACCTCACTGAGCTATATCCTCTGGTCTTTTTTTGTTTTTGTTTTTGTTTTTGTTTTTTTAGTTTTTAATTTTGAGATAGGGTCTCACTAAGTCAGTAAATTCCTCAGGCAGGACTCAACCTTTTCATCCTTCTGCCTCAGTTTTCCAAAGGGTTAGATTATGATGCAAGCCAGCCTGCCTGGCTTTACTTGGCCTTATGACCCTGGCATGGCCTTCAGAAAAAAACAAGTCTGTAGTTTCTACATTCTTATAACTCTCACACAACAACTATATTATTTTCTTTCTTTTTTTTTCTGATACCAGAAATTGCACTCAGGACCTTGACCTTGCTAGGCAAGTGCAGCGCCACTGAGCTATATCCCCAACCCCAACTATATTATTGTCTGCAAGGTAGATGAATATCTACAAACTGACACTGAAAGCAGTGAAACTATTATTGCACCTTCATCTACAACATTAACCAAATTAGGCATCATAAAAACTATAATACCTAAGGACCCCTAAAATAAAATAATATATAAGAAATAATCTAATAAACTAGAAAGTGTATTCAATGGTAACACTTAAAGAGAAGTAAAACATACATAGAGAATGACAGGACTACTCTTAGATCTCTTGCAGGTAAGATTTGAGCAAAAATCTACGGCTAGAAACTTTCCAGACAAGGGGAACTCAGATGTCAAGGCTCCTACATGGGAGTTTACTTGCCGTGTTCTGGAAATAGTGAGGGAGTCAGTGTGGCTGGATGAGCAAGGACAGTGCAGGAAATTTAAGAGAGAATGGAGACTAAAGAACATTAGCCTTGTGACCCACAATAAGGACTTTGGATTTGATTCTACGTGTTATGGAAAACTTCAGCAGAATTTTGACATGACTACCTTAATTTATTTTTAGAAATTCAGTTGTGAGACTTCCAAATTAGTAACTATACAAACCTTTCACTGCAGTCCTTTCTAGGTTTCCAAATAGTTGGCACTTTCAATTCTAACCTCTTTTGCAGACGTGCACCCCCCAAAAAAAAGCCAATTCTAGACCAGGCTTTCCCCCAACAATTCACATACAATTCCTACCTGCACACAGAAAATGCAACCAAAGCTTCATTACACTCAAAAGCACTAATCTCCTCAGCACTTTCTTCCATAGCGCAAGTCAGATGATTCTAATCCTGGACATTTCATAGCACAGTATCAATTGAAGTATCAACATTTGACATCAAAGGGACATTGTGCAAACTGAGAAATGATTTGCCAAAGGAAAAATATCTTCTTCCTAAATGACTAAGACTCCCCAGGTGATTCACATGTTTCACACTGCTGATACGGGAGTAAATGGACAGGGGTACAGCGTGAAATGGGAGGGCTTAGAATCTACTTCCTCTTGTGATACTGCATTGCAGGGAAAAAGCATTTATCTCAACAGTGCCTTCGTGATTCAGCATTAATTATGAGCTCTGAATAATTACCTATGAGCTTCTAGGTAACTTAGGACTTTTTAAGGTGTGTGTGTGTGTGTGTGTGTGTGTGCGTGTGTAGTTACTGTATTTCTTTTTAAATTTCATAGAAAACTCCAAGTTACTGGATATATCTGAAAAGTGAAACATTTATGCTACTGCTGGGAAAATTCTCATTGACACTTAGACATAATTGATCATGCCCTACTTTACCCTGCCTTTCAATCAACCACTTATCAAACTGACACCTAATCAACACAAAATTAGAATACTCTTCTAGGGTTCTTTTGTTTGTTTTTAAATATAGTTGTCCCTGGGGCCTGGGCTAAGCCTGGCTGCCCAGTGTGGTACACAGACCAGAAGAATGAGTAAAGGGCACTGAAATGCATGATCTTAGGGCTCACCCGGCTCTACAGAATAAGAATTTGCCTTTAAACAAGACTTTCTGGTTATTTACATGCACATTAAAAATTGAAAAGCAGTAGCCTACAGTAGCATTTCTCTGTCTCCGGATGATAGTAAACTGATCACCCACATCAGAATCACCTGTGCGATATTCTCTTGAAAAGCAGTTTTCTGGATCTTACCACAGGCTGAGTTAAACTGATTCTTGGGTGCCATCAAAACCGCATCACAAACAAGTTCCTCACCCAGTTACTTAGGTAATTTAAGTTTAAATGACAGAGCAGCATTTTAAGACATTATGGGGCCGGGGATTTAGCTCAGTGGTTCTGGTGCCTACCTTGGAAGCACAAGGACCCAAGTTCAATCCCTGGTACCAAAAAAAAAAAAGACATTATGTGCTTTGTCGTTTTCATATATATGATTTCTTCATGAGACTAAAAACACTGAGCAAGACATATCTAGAATGATAAAATGATCAAACTGCACATTCAGCATAGAAAGAAACACACACACACACACACACACACACACACACACACACGCACACAAATGGTATTGGAGGTAAAAGCAAATAGACTGCCTTAATGCTAGAAGATTAAAACCATCAGAGGTTTTCTTTCAAATTAGAATGGAATGCAGACTAACTAGTTAATTGTGTCAGAGAGGAAAGGGAGTAAATCATGAATAATAACCTCATCACACCTCTTGTACTCTTGTTCAAACACCACTCTCTGTACTCTTTGAAACACTATTAAAGTTTTATTTAATTCTAACAAGTTACTGTCTATACAGAAAAAGAATTTTTTCATATATGAAAAAATACTCAAAGTATCAAAAGTATACTACTTTTATCCCTTTTCTATTTGGTGATGGTCTTTATTAATAATTGCTAGAGGTAATTTTTTTTCACATACCAAACTGAAACCTGTTGCTCTATTTATGGGACACCATAGAAAATTAATCTTTTAGATGTTTAAAAAAATCCACTTAGGCATAATTTTCACATTCTGTTTGGGTGTTTAATAAAAGAAAATCATTACTTAAACTCCATTTTGCAAGATCCAAATTAATCTTGAAAGCACTGGGACATGGAGAAATGTGTATCATACTGCTCTCTGCTTAGATATAACTTTTTAGTATTGTAAAATAGCTTGTGTTAAAATATTTGAGATATCCAAAAATACCAGCACACAGGACTTCATTTACTCTGACTTAATACACAGAAAGTTAAACAGAAGAAAGGAAGATATGCTGATAGGAATAGGAAATGATATTTGAAAAGTGTGAGCAATTTTTAACACTGTTGGGTTTCAACCTTCAGAAACTTGACTTACCTCAGAGTATAAGATTCCCATGTTGGTCCTTCTCCTCTAGGCCTTTTTTGGATCTTTCAGAGGTATTTCTGATTAAAATGAAAGTTCTTTCTGGAGAGAAAGCTCCCTGGAAATCCAAGCTGTGGCAAGCCTTGTCCTTCCACACCTCTGAGTGTTTTCCAGAAATGCAGAGAGCAATAGGTTCCTTCTACAGAGACCAACCTAGAGAAACAAAGGCATTGGCTTACAGAGTAATGACCCAAGCGGTGTATCATTACATGTTACAACCTGAGGAGCCAGTTTCTGAGTCATATTTGCTCTGCCAGTGGCAGTGTACAGGAAGGTAGGAAGCACAGTTTGGGGGTGGCGGGTAGAAAGTTCCTAAATTGACAGGAAGGACTCAGGGTTCAAAATAGTATACGGTGTCCTATCATTGAAATCTGACTTTCAGTGCCCATTAAGAAAGGCTACATTAGGGACTGGGGATGTAGCTCAGTGGTGCCAGGCCTGCCTGGCAAGCACAAGGTACTGAGTTCAATTCCTGGTACCAGGAAGAAGAAAAAAAAAAGAGAGAAATAAAGAAAGAAAAAAAAAAAAGAAAGAAATGCTACAGGCCAATAAACACACTTGTGAAAGCCATTTGTGCCTGAAAAAGGACTGAGAAATAATATTCAGATTCTTCAAAAGTTATGACTGACAAGTAATACTTCCCAACTGTTTAAACAGACTTGTGAACTAATACATTAAATGTACTTTTAAAATTTTTAAAATTTAACTGACATAATAATCATGCACATTTAAAGGATAATGTGCATAAAATGATGATGTAGTACAAATGTATAATGATCAAATTGGGGTAATTTGCATTTCTCTCCTTAAATATTTATAACTTTTTGTGTTGGAGACCCTCTAACCCCTATCTTCTAGTTCTTTATAAGATGTACAGCAAACTGTTGTAGACTATCATCACCAGACTCTGCTGTCGAGCACTAGAACCTATTCCTCCTATCTAACTGTATTTCAGTACAGTAATTCAACCACTTCTGCCTCCAGTCTCCTTATGGTCTCCAGTGACTACTATTCTGATTCTCAACTTAGTGGTATAATAAATTTTAAGTTACCTTAAATATTCTAATACAATTTACCAAGTTATACAGATTATTTTATAGCATTTAATAGTTTTCAGTTTAAAATCAATTACTCTTTAAAATTTTAAACCGAATTATCAATTTATTTAGTCATGCATGCTAATATGTCATATCTCTTGAACGCGAAACATTTTGTGTGTTACACCCACGGCTAATTATTCAAACATTTTCTCTTAACACCAATATATCAAAGTACTGTCTTAAACTTTTTCAGAATTTAAATACACTCCCTCAACACACACACACACACACACACACACACACACAATAAACAGTACAAGCCAATCAAGCAACTGATATGATTTTTTCCAATCAGTTGCGGTTCTTTAAGTGGCCAGAGATTAGAGGACAGGATCCAAGGTCTGTGCTGCATATTTATAGGGAAGTTCTTCCTATTTCAGAGACGGACATTCTGAGTTGCTTTTTGCAGTTGTTATAACAAGATTCATATACTTCACTATGCTATGGAGTTGCCATTGAGGCCAACCCCAGGAGTTGAAGAATTAGCTAATCCTGTGGGAGGAAATAGAAATCTGCAATCCCCACCAACATTGCAGTTGACTTCCTCTTTGGTTTAGTTTTAGTTTGCATTTCTTTAGTTTCCTAACGCATTTAAGTGCCTTCCATCAACTTAGAAAAACATTGTTTTCTCTTCGGGTACTTTACTCTCTCTTATGCAAATCTTTTGTCACCCCTTGTTGTCTCCTTTAAGTAAATTGTGTGGACAGAACTCTTCACTGCCACTGCCAGTCTTTGCTAATGTTCTCCAAGCTTTCCCTCTTGAGTGAACATTAAAGTTTCTTTAAGTTTTTATCTGAATCACACTTTATCTCATTAGATTCTAAATTTTTTTACAATAACTCAAAGATTTTTACTGGCTGTAAATAATGTATTGATTGTTACAATCCAGTTTTTACAAAAAGATCTTTTTTATCAAAGTAATTAAATAGAGACCCTTCAGAGTGATAAATGAGACTCCCCTTGGTGAATAAAGGCCCAGCTTCCCAGAAAACAATTATTCTGGTCTTTGCTCACTAATGTGAACCCCATATTCATAACCTTATAAGAGACACCCCCAACAAACATTGTCTCAATATACTATTATAAATTTGTTACATTGGTTATCACCAAAGGGTTAAGCTCTAAATATGTTATAAAATGTTTACATTGGTTAAGTTCTAAATATGTTATTGTGATATGTTTACAGTGATCATCTTCAAAAGATTAATTTCTGTGGCATAAACAAGATATTATTAGAAAGACACTTTTGGTACTAAACTACATTCTAGGACATAAGGTTTCATATAATTGTGATACTACTGCTACATTTTTGGTGTATGGTATGTATTCATCTACATGTTTTTCTTGATGCAGTTCTAAAGGAACAATATTCATTATATTATCAAAAGATTAACTTTCAATGTATGATATTAACTTTAAAACCAAACTAATAAACAGTCAACTGAGTCGTTGCAATTGGTAAAACATTTGAATTTCACTCCAGACCAGTCAGTCTCAACCAGGGATGATTTTGTCCCCAGATGAACTGCCAGATTTAGCAAATAAAAATGTAAGATGTTCAGTTAATCTTGAGTTTCAAATATATTTCTGAAATATCACATGGGACATACCTATACTAAAATTTTTGTTTAAGTGAATCCTAAAAATGTTAGCAATGTTTGGGGACATTTTTGGTGGTAACACCTGGGCATGGAAGCTTGCTACTGGTGTCTATGGGCAGAGGCTGTGGATGGTGCTGATCATCCTACAGAGCACAGGGCACCTTCTCACAATAGAGAATTATCTTGTCCAAAATCATGCTGGTCTAAGTTTATCAACTGGTGAACACAGAGGACTTGATCAATTATGGTAATAGAAAAGAATCTAGTCAGCAATACTGTCAAAACAAAGAGTGACAAATCGTTTCCAAAGATATATTCAGGGTTCACGGTGTGGCAAATCGAGCTGATAATAACAAAGACAGGTCAAGAAAAGGAAGTGTGTTTCACACGTAAATGTCTTGGGTCAAGACATTTACGTGTGAAACACACTTCAGCTGACTAGCATCCAACTCCCTGTGAGGAGCAAGGGGCTCCAAGAAGATCTTTCCTGAGGTAGGATGAAAGGAATAAAGACAGGTAGAAAAGAGACAAAGAAACTTGTAATATTAAATTTTTACTGTTTAAGGAAAGCTGCAGTTTTTTTTCCTCCTTCCAGTAAAAATTCCTAAGGGCCTTAAAGACAATAAGACTCGGAGATTGTGTTTTTCACCTGTAAATTGCACAGCCTCCTGCAGATCTCCATCCTCAGAGAGTACACTAGTATTTAGAGGACAATGTGTTCCAGCTTTAAGATCAGTAAATGGATTGCATTTTAACATAGACCACCAAATGGGCAAAACTGACATTCTAGAATATACATTCTAGATAACCCATATTAAGGGCACCCCCAAGTCCCCAAAAATATACCCAACTCAAGTGTACAGATCTCCTTTCTCTCTCAAGGGCCCACATTCTATTTCTCTGGCAATGTACCTTTAAAATTCTGCTTGATAAGCCACTTTATGCATTTTATTGCCATATCCTAAAAATTCACTTCCCATGGTATAAGCAAGCCTGCAATCTCCTCCACAGGCTGGGTAAGTGAAGGTTGCTCATCTCCACTTTGTGGGAACATCCTAGGACCCCGTCTAGTGATATATCCCGAAAACTTTCTCCAAGAGGGGTTCAGGGATTATTGTCCATAGAAGCTAGGCAAGTATCATGACTGGAATTTCACTGATATAGCGACATTGAATCTGCCTGTTGAGCAAAGAATGGATATGAAAAAGGCAAGAGAGGAAACAGCCAGAACAGTTAGGACAATTCTGTATTAGATCGGTCCACTGAGAGATAATGGTAACCCAAGCCTGGAGAGCCACCACAAGGATTGAGAGAAGAGAATGAACTCTAGAATTTGGGAGGCAGAAACAACAGACTATAGTGGAAATGAGTCCTTAAGCTCCCTTCTCCTGGCACCAACTGTTCATCCCTGTTGTATTTTGTTCTGAGATGCTGACACTGGCACTCTCTAAGCTCCAAGTAAACTCTCACCAGCACCAGTGCCCTGGCCTCAGAGACCCCCAAGGCAAAGTAGGAAGAGACACCTTCTCTTTCCTACATTTGTTGATTCTATCAGCATCATCCAGCAATGGCCCTTTATCCTAGAAACAGCACCTGCTCCAAGTACATCCCCACACTCCCAGAAGCAGCCCTTTCAGAGGCAGCAGGACCAGCTGTCTTTTTCCTCCAACTCAACTTCATATAGTCCTTCCCATGAGAGAATTGGTTCCAGGAGCCACTAGAAAATGACCTCTCAAGGCTTTAGTTTCAGAATCTTGAGCACCTTTCCCAATTTTAATAACAGTGACCTCTGGTCTTTGTTCATTCAGTCCAAGGGGTGGTAGTTTCTAATGTAGTTTTTGTCTCTGTTACTTCAATACTCTGTTTGCTTTTGAGTCCTCCACAATCTACTGAACAAATGCCTTACCTTAAATGTGTCCTAATTTAATAACTAGTGTGGTTTTCTTTAGTAGACCCTAAGTGTCCTCTGGAAGTGATTAAGAGCTGGTAGTGATAGGAGTTATCCATGTGACATACAGCACAAGGGCAGGCTGATGTTGCTGTTCAGTGGTAAAGCACTTGACTGGCATGTGCAAAGGCCCAAGTTAAAGCTTGAGTATCACACACATAAAAAGATACAATAAGGTAGTATGCATATACTTGGATGGAAAACTTGGTAGATTTTGATGCGTTTCACCAAAATACAAAACACTGAAGAGCAAGATTAAGGAAGACCTGGGGAGCAATGATCAGCTCAGGTTTGCTTAAATTATATATCTGTAGCATATACAAGTGGAGATGCCATAGGGAGCTTATTATTTGGTTCTGGAATTTTAGAATAGGGATTTGTCTTAACTACTTTTCTTATTGAGACAAAATGCCCAACACTCAAAATTAACGGGGAGAAGGTTTTTTTGGCTCACAGTTTGTAGAGGTTTCAGTTCATAGTTGGCTGGCACCAAGGCAGGGTGGC